TATGTCAAGAATAATTAATTGGAGGCAATAGTAGACTAAAGCCATGGTCAAGCTCATTAAAAGTGGAATGAGACCTGTCTGAAGGGCTGAACATAACCATGAATCTCAATAGTCACCAAATCAGGAAAAGATGTCCCATAGCTGCTAGGGTCTCTACCATATGATTTCACTCATATGTGGAATGTATTGAACTAACAAACAAAATAGAGACAGACTCATAGATAGAGAGCAGGCTCACAGCTCTGGAGAGATATGTGTGAAAATATTGAGCAAAAAAGAAAAACAAAAGAGAAAGAACCCATGGACATGGAAAACAGTGTGTGATTCCCAGAGGTAGAGGGGAGAGGGGTATGGGTGGAGATGGGGGAGGGTATAGAGGAGATAAATGGTGATGGAAAAACTAAAATAAAAATATATAGTTAAAAAATACAGCAGTAAAAAAAAATCCAATTTAAAAAATGGGCAGAGGGCCCTACCTATTGTGATTCAGTAGTTAGAGGGTTGGCCAGCACACCTAAGGATCTTGGGATTGATTCCAGGTCAAGGGCACATACCTGGATTGCAGGTTCGATCCTGAGCACAGTTGGGGTATGTGCAGGAGACAACTGATTGATGTGTCTCTCTCACATCAATGTGTGTATGTGTGTGTGTGTGTGTCTCACCCTCTTCCTCTCCCTTCCACTTTCTCTACAAAAAACAATCAATTGAGAAAATATCCTCTGGTAAGCATTAACAACAACAACAACAAAAAAGGACAGTAGACCTGAGTAGCCATTTCTCTAAAGAAGACATACAGATGGCCAACAGACTATCTGCTCAACGTCACTAATCATCAATGAAATGCAAATCAAAACCACAATGAGATATCACATCACATCTGTTAGGATGGTTATTATAAAAAAGACAACAAATAACAAATGTTGATGAAGATGTGGAGAAAAGGGAACCATAATGCACTGTTGGTATGATTGTTAACTAGTGCAGCCACTAAGAAAAGTAGTTTGAAGATTCCTCAAAAAATAAACATATGGCAACATTGCTACCTAGCAATTTCACTTCTGGGTATTTATACAAAGAAAACAAAAATACCAATTCAAAATGATATATGCACCTGTATGTTCATTGCAGCATTGTTTACAATAACCAAAATGTTAAAGCAACCAGATAAGAAAGACGTGGCATTCTTTTTTATGTCATAAAAAAGGATGAAATTTTGTCCACTTGGTGTGCTCAGTGGTTGAACGTCGACCTATGAACCACGAAGTCATGGTCTAATACCTGGTCAGGGCACAAGCCTGGGTTGTGGGCTCGATCCCCAGTAGGGGTGGTGCAGGGGGCAGGGGCAGCTGATCAATAATTTTCTCTTATCATTGATGTTTCTGTCTCTTTCTCCCTCTCCTTTCCTTGCTGAAATCTCCCTTTCTCTCTGAAATATATATTTTTTAAAAAGAATGAAATCTTGCCATTTGTGATAACATGAATGGACCTTGATGGTATTGCATTAAGTAACATAAGTCAAACAGAAAAAGACAAATATATGAGTTCACTTATTTGTGGAATGTAAAAGAGAGAGAGAGAGACAGAGAGAGAGAGAGACAGAGAGAGACTCATAAATACAGAAAACAAACTGATAGTTGCCAGAGGGAAGTAGAGTAGGGGGATGACTGGAAAAGAGGAAGAGGATTAAGAAGTACAAGCTTCCATTAATGAAATAAGTCATGTGGTTATAATGTACAGCATAGGGAATATAGCCAATCACATAGTAATGACTATGTACGGTGACAGATGGTTACTAGACTTAGTGTGGTGATCACTTTGTAAGTGATATAAATATTGAATCACTATGGTGCACACCTGAAACTAATATAGCATCATATGACAACTATAATTAAAAATGAATTAAAATATAATAAGCATTTGAGAATATTAATAATTGTTTCTGTTTCCTTCATTTGAGTAGGAAAAAAATATATTTTTATTTCTTTTGGATTGTTTTATTTTTTTTTTCTTTTGTTTTATATAATTCTACAGTAACTAAATGTGCTTGGTCAAAGCCTCGTCTCCAGAAACAACAAGTAAGGATGAAAATATTATATTAATGACCTGGAATAGAGTATTATAGCAGAGCTCTCCAAATACCTACAAAGGTACATATCCACCCATTAAATATAAACACCCTAGGAACATTCACTGCTTAAATTTATAGTTAGATATTTTATTATATTACAACTAGAGGCCCAGTGCACAAATTTGTGCATGGGTGGGGCCATTCTGGGTGGCCTGCAGGGATCGGGCCGAAATCCACAGTCCAACGCTGCCTGCAGTTACTACCTGCTGCTCCTGCTCATCCTGGCCCCACTGTGCCTGCTGCATGCTCATGTTCAATCAGTCCCAATCGGGAGAGGCTTGGGTGGCCACAGCAGCGCTCACCAGCAATGAGACCTGCATCTGGCACCCTCTCAAGGGGAGTGGCCTGCAGGATCGGGCTGAAACCGGCTCTCCAACATCCCCTGAGGGGTCCCAGACTGCGAGAGAATGCAGGCCAGGCTGAGGGACTCCACCAGTGCAAGATCGGGCCAGGGAGGGACCCAGAGAGGGCTCCGCGCATGTCCAGCCCATCTCGCTCAGTCCCTATGGCTGGACCCCAGAAGTAAGCTAACCTACCAGTCGAAGCATCTGCCCCCTGGTGGTCAGTGCACGTCATAGTGAGCGGTTGAGCAGCCTTAGCATATCATATTTTAATAGTTGTTCGGTTGTTCTGCCATTTGGTCTATTTGCATATTACCCTTTTATTATGTAGGATATTCAACATGCATATATAGAATATTTTAAGAATCATATTTAGCATATGATTGGATTTAAAAACTGTGATACATCTATGGAATACTACGTTACTGTAAAAAGGAAGGAACTCCTACCATTTGCAACAGCATGGATGGAGCTGGAGAGCATTATGCTAAGTAAAATAAGGCAGTCAGAGAAAGATGAAACTATTACAAATAAAGCTGCTATGAACATCCAGGTACAAGTATTTGTGTGAACAATTGTGTTCTTTTGGGTACATACCAAGGAGTACTTTAGTTGGATCATTTGATAGATGTATGTTAAACAATATTTTTAAAACTACAAAACTGTCCTCCAAATCTTTTCCATTTTGCATCTAACTAGCAATGAATGAGAGTTTTGATTGCTCCATATCCTTGCTTATATTTGATAGTGCCAGTCTTTTTAATTTTAGCCATTTTAATTGTATTGCTATCTACTGTGGTTTCAATTTACATTTCCTAATGACCAATAATGGTAAGCATCTTGTCATGTGACTGTGTGCTTAGTGACGATTTTATACTGTTTGTGAAATATGTATTAAAATTTAACCTTATTTTTAATAGGGTTTTGTCTTTTTAAGATTGACTTGTAAAAGTTTTTCATATTCTGCATAAAAATTCATTATCTGACCTATGTGTTGCATGTAACTTCTCTCAGTCCAGAGCTTTCATTTTCTGTCATTTTTTATTTTCTCAATAGTGTGTTCTGGGAAATCCTATATAATAAAAGCCTAATATGCTGTGTCCAACTGTTTGTTATGATGCGCACTGACCACCGGGGGGGGCAGATGCTCCAACCAATAGGTTAGCTTGCTGCTGGGGTCTGGCCAATCAGGACTGGGTGAAATGGGCTGGACACACCCTGGAGCCTTCCCATGGCCCGCCCCCCCGGGGCCCAATCATACACCAGTGGGGTGCCTCGGCCTGGCCTATGCCCTCTCACAATCCAGGACCCCTCAGGGGATGTCAGAGAGCTGGTTTCAGCCTGATCCCTGCAGGCCAGGCCAAGGGACCCCACTGGTGCACAAACCTGTGCACCAGGCCTCTAGTATGTGTATGTGTATATATATACACATTTATTTATCTATTTATTTATTTATTTATTTATTTATTTATTTATTTATTTATGAAGTCTGTACATGAAGAATAGGGACTTTTGAAGGTCAGCTGATCAATGGAGTTTTAGGGCAGGTCCATCTCACAGGGAGCTAATGTGTCCCCAGAGACCATCCTGTGGTTATTTACCCATTTTCAGACAGCATAATTGAAAGACATATACTCAACAGCTGGCAGAATTGTCTCTTTCTTGGGGAAGTTCAGTATTTTGTCCTATTCAGGCACTCAACTGGTTGAATGAGGCCCACCCATGGTTTTGACTATGCCACCAGTAAGGTTTAAAAGACCCCGAGTAAACTGTGCCTTGGCTTGCACAATTTAGGGTGGTTCACATTAACGATAAAGCTCATCCTGTGCAACTGAGAAAGGGTCTCAGAAGTTGTGTTTACCTGCTGTATCTGTTTCTTTCTCCTGCTGTGCTTTACCTTGACCTTAAAGCCTAAAATGAGTATACCCTGTGAAGTCTCATGGGTCCTTTCAGATATTTGACTCTATGTAATTGATGCAGTTGCTATTTTAAAATTTATAAAAATGAAGTACAAAATGCCTACGATGGCTTACTGATTATTTCTTCCATCTGGTTACATGATTAAAAGACCCAACTTTGCCATGGAAGAAGAAAGATCTGTGCTTAACTTCTTTGACTAGTGCTCCTAGAACACACACCCAGCATTGTCTAGTCAGTCCCATTACAATTGTGATAGTTCTTGACAACATAGCACTCCTCTATCATAATCGATGAATTCTAAATAAAGAGACTGTTCACTAGTATTGTACATGAGTTTCAATAAGTCTTTACCTTCAAACCCTGATTTTAATATCCATTACAGAAATAAATGGTATCTATTTATTTAAAAATAAAATTTATATTTAGTCTAGGAACAAATATTTGCTATGTAAATTTATCTCCAGTTTGACGTTGTCCGTAACTGAGGGAACATTGTATTTCACATCATATTCTGTAAAGCATTTACTCCATAATAGCTTAAGGACACTTCCCCTTTTTAAGGATGGAAAGGATAAAGATTTGAGGAGTATTTCCAAATCAAGTGCTCAGAGTCAAACATCATTAAAAAGGAAGATTGTTGCCACCCGATCTCGAATCTGCTTGGTTCTTACGCCATAAATAATAGGGTTGAGAGCAGGAGGAATTATCACATAAAAATTAGCCAGGAGGATGTGGATGTAACGTGGAATATTGTGGCCAAATCGGTGAGTCATAAAGGAGAAAAAGGCTGGAGTGAAGAAAGCTAAGATGACACAGACATGGGAACCACAGGTATTGAGAGCTCTGAGCCTGGCCTCCCAGGATGGAAGTCTGAAGACAGCAAGTAGTATCGTCACATATGAGATAGCAATCAAAATAACATCCAGCAGTATCATGGAGATAAGGATTAATCCAAATATGATATTGACCTTTATGCTGACACAAGCCAGACGGGCAATGCCCATGTGCTCGCAGTAGGTATGGGGTATAATATTATGCCCACAGAATGAAAGCCTCAAAAGGAGAAATACCAGTGGAAAAACAAACACAAAATTTTTCAACATGCCTACAACAGCAATAATACAAATAGTTCTGTCGGTGAGAATTGTGTTGTAACGAAGTGGGTGGCATATGGCAACATAGCGATCAAAAGCCATGGCTACAAGCATGAATGTTTCAAAGCCTGTAAACAGGTGTATGAAGAACATTTGAGCTAAGCATCCCCCAAAGGCAATCTCACTGAGGCCAAACCAGAAGATGCTCAGCATTTTGGGAATGGTGTCAGTGGACAGGCCGAGGTCAGTGAGAGCCAGCATGGCCAACAAGTAGAACATGGGCTGGTGAAGGCTGTGCTCAGTGTGGATCACAAAGAGGATGATGACATTCCCCAAGAGGGCTATGAGATACACTATACCAAATGGGAAGCCAAGCCAGAGCTGCATGTTTTCCAGTCCTGGGATTCCCAGCAGCAGGAAGGATGAGGGGTGAACACATGATGTGTTGGCTGGAGACATACTGGCAAGGGCTTCTGATGGTCACATCCACTCATTTGAAGGAATCTTTTGTTCTGTATAAAGGTTCCCAGTGCTTCATCAATACTGCTAATAGTGAATAAGAACAACAAAAAAAGATGTAATTGGTACATTTTATCTAGGAACACAGAAGTGAGATCCTGTTTTCTCTTAGACTTCTCTTTCTCTTATTTACTTTCATTCATATATATAAGTGAAGGAGAAGATTCCTTTAAAAAAATGGATATTTGGACATTGCGCAAGATGATCTAAATTAATTTTAGTGTGAATGTATATCAACTCAGTTGATATAAGATTCTATATTAGGTTCTAACTTTTTAAAATATTTAATTATAAATTTGGATATTAAATTTATCTTAATTATAATTCATAAAAGATAGCCCATTGAAGAAGTTGAAACAATCTTAATAATGGAAGACATGACCTTTTCCTAGAAGCAAGGGAAGTAGAGACATTGCATAGTACACTGTGCATTTGATGTTTTAGAAAATCAAAGTAGATTTTAAGAATGCAAGAGACATGACCCTATGAAAGACAAGTAAGAAAGATAAAATCTCTAAAAATGGAAATGTACCTGTTCAAAGGATCCCCAAAACAGATGTGAGGAAAAGACAAGAGGAACCAGCATCATCCTGTTGTTAATCCTCAAGGTCTGCACCTTAGACATCCATTCTCAGAGAGATATTCACTGAAATCAATATATCACTGCTAATATTCTCTCTCAGGACCCTCTTATTCTACCACAGAGCTCTTTGTATGGGTACATACTCAATGCCCAAGCTCCCAGAGCTTTGTGAAATTACAGAGGGGGGCAGGAAGTGGTTTTGTTTGTCATTATTTCTCTAGCACAACAGCTATCACTTGAAACATCTATACTGATAAAAAAGTAATATGCTAATTAGACCAGATGTCTTCTGGACAACCTTCCAGATGTCCTTCCTAACAAACCCAGACCCGGGCAAAGCTGCTTGGGGTCCCGGGTGCCTGAGACTGACCCAGGCCAAGCTGCCCAGGGTCCTGGGTGCCTGCAGCTGTGGCCGGCCTGGGTGAAGCCACATGTGGTCCCAGGCGCCTGCAGCCAGCCCAGGCAAAGCAGGCCTGGGTCCTAGGTCCCTGCGACCTGCCAGAGGAGGGAAGCCTGGGTCCTGGGTGCAGGGGCTGAGGAAGAGGCAGTTAGGGGCGATCAGGCTAGCAGGGGAGCAGTTAAGAGTGATCAGGCAGGCAGGTAGAGGTGGTTAGGGGCAATCAGGCAAGCAGGAGAGCAGTTAGGGGCAATCAGGCAGGCAGGCAGGTGAGCAGTTGGGAACCAGGGGTCCTGGATTGCGAGAGAGGGATGTCCGGCCAGGCTGAGGGACTCCCCTCCCCCCCGTGCACATATTTTGTGCACTGGGCCTCTAGTTTGCTAATAAAAGACTAAGTAGGTAATTATTAATTTTAACTCCTGATCAAAAGTCCTCATGTTAGAAGAATGGTGGGCACAATATGCAATATGCAGATGTTGTATAATAGAATTGTACACCTAAAACCTTAGACTTGTAATGAATTCAGGAGACTTCCATGTAGGGAAGCATAAACTAAGACAGAAAGTAGGAAAAGAATTACTGCAAAATCTATCTAGACCTTCATCCTACTTAGAATGCACTACAAAAGCTCAAGAACTACAGAACCACACTAAAACAAGAAATATCTTCCTTCAGATGTCCTGCAGTGCTGAGGAAAGGGGTATTTCTCTCAGATTAGAATTGTTCCTCATGACTGAACAGGCCTAGTTCAGAAGCAGCTGCCATATACCAGATATATGGCAACTAAAATAAGATCCATCCTCCTAATCCATACCAAATAGATAGAAGATGGATAGCTAAATAAATAAATTACATGATCTAGGAGATAGAAAATTGTCTTACTTTTTCCAAGATAGACCCTAGTATTAGTAGAATAGTAAAAGGCAGATAGACTGAAAGAGTCAGTAAGTAGCAATTTCCTCCAATAGCAATTTTTCCAGGAAAGAAAAAATGATATCATTTTAAAAACTCACCATTTTTCAGTTGCTGTGTGTTTTTACCTACAGCTTATATATTTAGTGCTAAAATTGCTTCCCAATATGGAAAACTAAAATAAAAAAGAATATGTATATAAACATGTTCTGATAAGCCAGGATGGAAAAATTCATTATGGTTTTGAAAAGCTATGTACTATTTGGAATCTGAAGGTGTTAAACTATTCAAGCTCTTCACCATTAGTGGCAATGAAATAGAAACAAAATTATTGATTTGGAAAAATGTTGAGAATGCTATTTTTATATGAAATACAAAAAAATAATCTGAAATAACCAGCAGCATGCATGATTAAGTTCAGTAGAATTAGGCTAAAAATGAAAATTAGAAATGGGAGGGAAGGATTGGTTAGGGGAGTGAATGGGGAAGGGGGAAGGAAAAAGGGAAGGGGGAGAGGAAAGGAGAGGAGAGAAGTAGGAACACAGAAGGAAGAGAGGGAGAGAAAAAAAAAGAGGAGATAAACTCAATAATAATCAACAAAACAACTTACTTGTTTGACCGTTTAGTTTTTCCTTTTCCTTTTCCTTATCATTACAAGTAGGTATACTTGTGAAAAAAAAAATGATAAAACACTAAAATATGTAGAATTACTTGAAATGAACATGCAATTATTTTGATTTATCACCTTCAAATTAATATTTATATCATACAAAAGTGAATGAGAGTATTAAATCAATAGTCCAAACCTTCCCAAACTATACGTTCAAATGCCTATAGGAGCTAAGCTATTGAAATCTCACCAGGTATAACCAATATTGAAAGAATTCTGCAAATCGGACTAATCACTGCTCCAAGCATGTCTTAGCATCATCACTGTGGTTCAAGGAGAAAAGTTTACACTGGAATTGAAAGTCCTCTCCCTGAGCAGGAGCAGCTGCTCTTCTTGGGCTGCATGGGATGAGAGCATGGAAGACAATGAATTCGCAAGTTCTCACCACAGGTTTATGAGCATATAAAGAGCACATGGGCAAAGGAATCCTTTGGGACTTTCAAGTCTCTCCCCTTAGGTTCTCAACTTGCAAGAATTTCTCATTTCCCAACAATCCACAGTTTCTCTCTTGCCATCAGTCCCATAAGGATAATGTCTGAGCCAACCTATAATTTTCCATCTTGTCACCAGGGTTGTTATAGTCTCTAATGATTGTGTCACTTTTTTCCAGAAAATGTTATTTACTTGATCTAGAAGTCAGGTTAGCAAGTGTGCACTTGTTTATTTAAGATTAAGTATTGCTCAGATGTGTTTTGCATCTATAGATCTTTCCCCCACTCCAAAGCTTATATTCTGGGTGCATAGATAATACTAACCACTGATACATAAGTATGCAAAAATTAAGTTTTAAGTTATATGGTGCTAACTATAGAGATACAGAAATGGAGATAACCAGTCCATCTTCCAGACTTTCTAGCTCAATTTCTTTTAGAAAGGAGTTGAAAGGTGGCACAATAGAAACTGTAAAGTAAGATAGAAACAGATATTATCTGAGAACATTACAGAAAGACTGGATGTTGTGTGTAGCCTGGATAAGTATAGAATCACAGGAAAATGAATTGCTTTTTTTTTTGATACAGGAAAAAAGGCAGCTCTAACAGCTGTCAGATGAAAGCTGGCATGGCACCAACACCCTGACCATGGTGATGCCCACTGAAAAAATACAATTTCACAAAATATGAACATCAGACAAGGTCACTCTGTGCTCATGATGATGTAGTGAAATGAAAACAAGACCTTTCCATAATCATGCCTGAGCAAAGAGGAAATATATATACTGCCCCCACCCCAAGAACGGTCCTCCCAGGAAATATGAGTGACTGGTTATTTTTTTTTAAAAATATATTTTATTGATTTTTTACAGAGAGGAAGGGAGAGAGATAGAGAGTCAGAAACATCAATGAGAGAGAGAGACATCAATCAGCTGCCTCCTGCACACTCCCCACCGGAGATGTGCCCGCAACCAAGGTACATGCCCTTGACCAGAATCGAACCTGGGACCTTTCAGTCCGCAGGCCGACGCTCTATCCACTGAGCCAAACCAGTTTCGGCAAGTGACTGGTTATTTTTACCAAACATACTTTTAGTCTCCACTCCATTCCTCTGACTTTTTATATATAAACTAGAGGCCCGATGCACGAAATTCATGCAAGAGTAGGTCTTCCTTCCCCCAGCTGCCAGCACCAGCTTCCCTCTGGCACCTGGGACCCGGGCTTCCCTCGCAGCCCTGGCTTCATCTGGAAGGTTGTCTGGAAGGACGTCCAGAAGGACATCTGGTCTAATTAGCATATTATGCTTTTATTATTATAGATATTATGAAGATACCCAATATATAAATTAGCCTTTTTTTAAAAAATATCACCTGCTTCTGAGAAACATCCCCAAAACAAGCCCAGATTCATCCTCAAATCCTTTCTCAAACACTCTGAGTCCCCTAATATTTCCTCACTGCATGTGATGTCACCTATTGTATCAAGTAACAAACCCTGCTTTTCCTTTACCACAAATGTAGTGTTCCTGGTGGTTGTTGGCTAGAGGGCACAGATATTTCCTATGTATAGAGTTTCAGTGGGCCCACATGCTCACCAGAAATTGGCATTCTCGGCATTGTTTCTAAACCATTCTAATTGCTTGTAGTTTGCATTTCCCTGAAGTCAACTGATGCCGAGCAATTTCTTATCTGCTTATTTGCCATCTGCATAATTTCCTTTGGTGACATGCCTGTTCAAATAGTCTGCCCATTTTTAAAATTTTCTTATTATTGAGTTTGAGAATTTGTTATATATTCTGGATACAAGTCTTTTACCACATATGTGTTTTGCAAATATTCTCGCCCAGTCTGTGTTTTGTCTTTTTCTTCCCTGAATAGTGCACTTTAAGAAAGTCCAACTCACCATTTTTTTTTCTTTTAACAACAGTGCCTTGATTTGGTTTGGTTT